CATGCATAAAGCCACAGAAAAGTTGGTGGTTTTGAGGTCCGGATTTTAGATCATTCTGGATAATGGACGTCCGGATTTCAGACTTTGTACTGTACTAATTTTAAATGTTACTTTTATGAGCACGTTTGATTGGAAAATAAAACATTGGTCAATTTGTCATCGTTTTTTCATGTGTAATATGAATATAAACTAGTATGCATTTTAAAGATTCTTCATAAAGGTACTCCTCCTCAGACAACCATATAGTCCTTTATGATTATTAATCAACCAGTTTACTGGTATTGGAATTGAGGAGATTGATAAATGCTTTATAATTTTGATCTAAAAAAACTTTATTAGGAAGGGATTTATTATTACATGAATATGCTGCCTGTCTGATTTTAATAAATATATGAAATGTTAGTGCATTGAACAAAAACTATATCTTACACCATATATTAGGTTCCTGGGCTACTGATTAATCATTTATGAGCTGTACATTAAATTTTTAACTTTATTTAAAGACACTGCACCAACTGAATCTGATTAGCAAAAACTTAATTCTGACAAAAATGACAACTCAGAACTGAAACAATCTGATTTTGTGGAAATCATGAGTAGATAATATTTTAATATTAGTTCTAGTTCAGCAACAAGTAACACTGCATCTGCATCACACGGGACAACCATATAATCACCAGAGAGTGTATTGTTGGCATTAGAACTCAATGTTTCTTTCTGCACCTTACCAGACAAGTGGGTCAGAATGCTTCTGTGACTGAAACAATATGTGCAGCTTGTGTGCAGAAAGGCTAGGACACCAATAGAAGATTACGGGCAGTGCACGTAAACAGCAGGGAGTGGATTGTCACCTCATCAGGATGACTTTAGCAGATGTTCTGTGTCATTAACCATCCTGATGCAGCAAGGGCAAATATTAGCACATTCACTAGTGTTATTGTTTATTAAACACTGTATTTTAGCAACCGCTTCTCTTTAGCACCTCATTCTTGCTTAATACCTTACAGAAGTTAACAAAAGTACCATTTTCGGCAAAAATAATGGGTGCATATGTAGCTGTTGTGCTACCAGACTGAACAACACATCAATCCAGTAGCACAACAGGTAAGAAAACTCCCTACTGGCAGGTTGAACATTGTTTTAAAGTTTCTTGGTGTATTTCGTGTAATGTCCATGTATTACTTTGAAATGCTAATCTGTCCTTTAAAATAAATGTTATAGTTACATTTTCTCCCCAAGGAGAATAGTATATACGAGTTTCCAGATATAAAAATAATTTTTATTTAAGTCCAGAAGATGTATCACTAATTCAGTTGCAATCTGATCATTAATAATTAAACGAACTTAATAATCAAGACTTCACAAGTAAAAATCATGAAGCAGTTCGATTACCTGTGATGGACAGCTATCTACGCCGACGTTTTCATAGTCTCTTCCCTTATACTTAGTATAAGCACGTTTCAGTATTATTTAAAGACTTCACAGGTATTCTTTCCAGGGATAATTTTCGAGCACTTTGCCACTGTTAATGAACCAAAGAATTAGAACTGTCAAAGCTTTCAATAAATAACTGACATAAAAAAGATAATAAAAATAAATGCATTGCAATGAAGCTATGCTGAAAAATACCGTTTGAGTCAAAATGAATATAACAGCTATAAATATTTAATGGAAAAGAATTTATCGATAAGAGTAACAAAGTATGTAGACTCTGATTCCGTGGATTACATCTTTCAGCAAGATGGAGTACGGAGGTTCGCACATTTTTAAATCAACATCTTCCAAAGCGTTGGATCGATCAAAGTGGAGCTGCCGACGATGTTTTCTACTCTTGGCCACCGAGACCTCTGGACTTGACACCCTGCGATTTTTTTCTTTGAGGGTTATGTGAAAGACAGGGTGTTTGTACCTCCCATGCCCAAAACAATTGAAGAACTCAAAGTACGCATTTGCAATGCGCTTGTGTTGGTGACTGAACAAATGCTTTAGAATGTATGGCGTGAAATGAACTACCGCCTAGATGTTGTCCGTGTGACCAAGGGAAGTCATATAGAACATCTACGATGTAGGTATACAAAATTGTGAAGTTCCCTGTACATGTGTTAATTTTAAAGATAAAATCGTTTTCAATAAATTGTTATAGCCATTTGTAATCGCTATATTCAGTTTGACTTACCCTGTATAATGGTTACAATATATGATTCTATATTACGCTAAAAATAATTAAAAAATAATTGCAGTTTTTGAAAGAATCGCTAACGAATGCACATATACAGTGGCTGTTCAAACATTTTTTAGACGATGTATATTGTATAAAACTAAATTACATAAAATTCTTGTGTTTTTAAATGTTCTATTTGACATCCCTTATTCTGAACTATCTTTCGACACCACAATTTCCAGGATAATAATGCCTTTTGAAGTGGCAGAAGAGGTATTCTATCCCCAGGGGCGTAGCTAGAGGGGGGCATCTGTCCCCGGGCGCAGGATCCAAGGGGCGCCAAACTGATGTTACGACATTTTAGAATTAAATGTTTTCCATCCTTGGCAAGCAGTAGGGGGTGTGAAATCTTCAGTTGTCCCTGGGCGCTGAAAACCCTAGCTACGACTCTGTCTATCCCATTCCTCCCGAACAGCTTTCCAGAGTCCTGTTAGGGTTTTGGGACAATGTTTGGATAATGCAGTTTTTAAAAGTCCGAAAGCACAAAAATCCATAGGTGACACATCGAGAGATTGAGTAGGGATATCAGTGAAGGGTATGGCCTTGATACCAGTTTTTTGTTCCATTTCTTTTAGGAAATTTACAGTGGATTTTGATGTGTGACTGCTAGCTTTGTCCTGATGGAGTCTCACAGATGGATGGCACTGTGGGTAAAGCGATGGTATTTCATTCAGAAAAATTGGCGATAAAATATGTTCCTGATAGTATTTGGAGTTAATCTTGACTTTTTTTTTTTTTTTTCGCACTCTCTTTACTTTTAACTTGCCATTATAAGAAAAACCAGCAACAATTGTGAATCCCTTAGAAAAACTTTCTTTCGATTCTTTGAACCATGTACTTAAATTTTTTTCTCCCCTTTTATGATAATAAATGGCTCTTTTTTGTTACAATCATTTAAATACACCCATGCTTCATCTATTTGTGACAACTGCTTTCCATTTTTCTTTAGATAAGTGTTTCTCATATAGAATTCTGCAGCGTGTCCTGCGTTGGGCGATATGCTTTGGAAGAAGACGATGCACATTCCGTTTTTTCGCTTTCTTAAGATTTAAATCAACGTTTATCATTTTGTTTACAGTGGAAACCGAGCATTTTAATGATTTTGCAACTGTCCTTTGACTAGGGGGATTTTCTTTTAACATTAAACAACGTACCTTTTTCAATAGTCGAAGATGTCCGTTTTTTCCTTGGATACTTGTTTGGAATTTTTGTCCCACTTGAGGCTCCAATTTGACGTTTTCTTCCTTTCTTGTTGATGATATTACCTATCGACGCTTTAGTTATCACAAAACCATGACTCTCACATCGTTTTCGGATAACGGAGTATGCATATTTCTCTTCGGAAAAAGCGTAAATGTAGCCTTCGAACCACTGCTTTGTTAAATTCGCCATTTTGAATAAAAACAAAACTTTCAAGCCACAGACTATAATTTTGACTTTTAAAAACATAGTACAATTGCAATTACTTCTTTTGCAGCAAACGATTTTTTATTACCGCTTACCAAAATCGTCTAAAAAATGTGCGAACTGCCTCTATTAAAAACGGCGAGTGAAAAAAAGTGTAAATACGCGCAATAAATAAGAAAAAGTAGAAAATGACAGGTTCCCCTTTTTGCTTATTATTAGTAGACAAGCTGAGTGACAATTTATATCTAATAGCTTAGTAGCTGATAATAAAAGAATGTTTAATAATGTGCGAAAAGTTATATTTAATCAAAAAAGACAGTATGCTTAATTTTCTCGCATAGTCATTATAGCGCATTATCCCGACTATTCTTATATTTTATTCACATGAGACAAAAATTTTAACAGCATGTGCGCCTTCCCACCCTTCCTTATTTTAAATGACGAAGTTTGCTGCATTTTTGCTTTTGTTCCGTAAATGAAATAAATTTGTAATCATAGTTTTAAACCTATAAAATGAGATACACGTTCATTAACACTAATAAAACTGAAAAGTTCCACACAATTAAATGTTTAGGTGTGACTTTAAAAACATAGTTTTATTCTACAGTATACATACACCTGCAGAAAAAAGCAACGAATCCTACTGTTTTAAATAAAAAATTTTGAATGAAATGTGTTTTTCATTTCTTTTCCGAATTATAATAGATACATGTTAAGATGTCTGTTCATCGGTTCAATAACTGCAAGCTGCTTTAACTCATTTTCGACAGTGAATTTGCCTGAACACCATTCACTCCCCTTCTCTCACACACATAAACACAGGCGCGCGCAGAAAATCGATTTTATGCTCTGAATTACGCTTAGAATGCACATTCTGTCAAAACATGATTTTCTATTTCCTTGGAAACAGCTCTCTAAGCTGTATTCTCCGTAATGTTAATTGTAATGTAGTTGATAATACTTCTTTCATAAAATCTTTAATTTCCTTCTTCATAAATTTAATTTAAAATAATAACGATATTCGGTAAAAATGCTAAAAATTATAAACGACATCGTCAAATTTAATAATTGCAATTCACAGAGATTTTTTTCGAATTTTAAAAGTGCAGCAGACTTCTGATTAACTGAGAACCACGTCCACAGTTAATACGATAGGGAATTAAAAAGAGGAATAATCCAAGCAGTTTTAACTCGGAGAATAAATTCCTTTCGTTATGTAATTTAAATCAGAATCGAAACAAGAACAACATATATAAAACAAAAACAGCATCTTTTTTATTACTCTCGTATTTCGATAGGAGTCAACATTAAACAAAAAATTAATGACTGTACATTTAATTTATTTTTTCGATTCAGCAGTTTATTTTTAATCGAAGATTTAACAATATTTATACTACACTGTCAATTAAATTACGTTCTGCTATTCATTAAAAGAATTCCTAAATAATACGACAACGCGTGCTGTTTCATCTTACGCATTTTCTTATTAGTCCAAAGGGATTTCAGTCCCGAAGGACTATTGCTTTCGTTTTGGCATTTTGCGTCGGACTCATAAACGTCGGTTCACTTTTCAAACTGTTGCCACAAAATGTTAGAGTCCTGCATTATATTTGAAGAAATTAAATAATGAAAAATCTGCATAAATGATTGTCTATTTCTCGCATTGTGATAAAACAATGGTACATAGAGCCATCGAATTTTGAATGACGAAATCCTCCTACTGCGAATATGGGCATTGAAATCCCAAATTTGGAATTTGTTTTATTATAGATTTTATATTTTGTAAAACTTTAACGAATTTTTGATTTACAAAATCAATGCTTTAAAAGCGAGAAATGGCAACGTTATATAGAAAAAAAATACTTTTATCTCCAGCTCGCGAGACTGTGTATATCTAATTTAACATTATTTTGCGATATTGCTCTTGAACTGAATTTTATGGTTTAAGTGCAAAGAACATGATATTTAATAAATAAAGGTAACACTCAAAACGTTAAAAAAACGCCCCTTTGGACGTAATTTAAAATCTGAAAAATTTCAGTTTTTTTTTTTTTTTTTTTTTTTTTTTTTTTTTTTTTTTTTTTTTTTCCCACAAAGATTTTACTTTATTCTGATGGTCTGTAAATAATAATAAACAAACTTAAGGCTCGGTTAATCAGGAGCTGACTGTATTTCACCATTCTTGAAAACTTAATTTAAGATTATAAAAATTTCTTCATTAAAATTTTATGACTGGGTGTTCTTGAAAAATGACTTAAGTCTTTATTTCCTTAATTATCGACCCTTAGCATACATACCATTTACAAACTTCATTACTTTTAAAAACAAAGAGAAAATTTTGTGAGAATAGTTTTAGCAAGTTTTGTATCGATTTTCATAAAGCAAACTATCCAGATACTAAAATATGTGCTAATACAGATACAATGGCAAATAGCCCCTACTTCTGTGCGAAAAAAATGGATGAAATAAGAGCAATTAATAATTCCTCCAAGCCAGCAATAAAATTAATCATTCGTATTGTTTTGCCAAATTCGGTTTCATTCACCACGAAAAGGAACTCCTCTATTTGCCTCCTGAGGTTCTACAGAATATTTAATTTCGGTCGAAATTATGTGAAATTATGTCAGCAGATTTCATTTCTTTTCTAAATGTAATAAATATATTTTTAGTTTTGCATGTAGCTATGGAATCTTTCCCAATCAGCTTTTTAAAGCATAATCACGATTTTATCAAATGGAGCTTTTGCTCAGCGAAAAAGCAAAACAAGTTTTTATATTCTACTATTCCTTAGTCGGAAATTTTCGACCTTATTTTGAGGAGCTTTGTGATTACCTGTCATCATCAAAGTCTCTAGCCATATTTTCTCAAATACGCTCTCTATATATAAATGTAGG